TCAAAGAATCAGCTTTTGCTGGGTGTGGTGGTGCATGCCTGTAATCCTAGCACTTGGGAGACTGAGGCAGGAGGATCACTGTGAGTTCAAGGCCAGCCTGGGCTACATACTGAGTTCAAGGCCAATCTGAACTACATAATGAGACTCTGTCTCAAAAAATAAAACAGAACAGGGCCGGGGATTTAGCTCAATGGTTCCACCACCTGCCTCGCAAGCGCAAGGTCCCGAGTTCGATCCCTGGTACCCCCCAAAATAAAACAGAACAAAATAAAACCAAACACAGAATCAGCTTTACCTTTCACTGATTTTTCTCTGTTGTCTTAATGCTTTTTATTTTACTGTTTCCCACTCATACCATCATTGTTTTCTTTTGTTTACTTTGGGTTATATTTGCTCTTTTTCTAGTTTCTCATAGTAGAAACTGGTTAGAGATCCTCTTCTAACAAAAAGCTGTTTAGTACTTTGTTTCCCTCTACCTACTGTTTAACAGTGTTTCACAAATTGATATGTTGCATTTTAATGTTTATCTTGTGAAAAATATTTTCTGTATTCTTTAGCCCCTGGATTATTATAAAGTATGTTTACTTAGTTTCCAAATTCTGGTATATTTTCTCTTTATTGGCCTCAAATTTAATTATTTATTTATTTATTTATTTATGTACGGGGGATCGAACTTGGGTCCTTGCGCTTGCATAGCAGGCATTGAAACCACTGAGCTAAATCCTCGACCCGATGTTTTTTTTTTTTTTGGTACCAGGGATTGAACTTGGGACCTTGCTCTTGTGAGGCAGGCACTGGAGCCACTGAGCTAAATCCCCGGCCCCTCAAATTTAATTACATGTGGCGTGAGAACATTGGGTGGCTTGAATCTGCCTGTTTTCTGTTGAGACTTGTTTTATAGCTCTATCTTGGTAAATCAATAGTGTGTACTTGAAAAGAGTGTTACTCTGTAAAAGTCAATTGTGTCTTTAGTCGTTAATGTGTTCAAATCTTCCATATTCTTAGTGGGTTTTTATCCTTCAATTTTTGGAGGGAGAGGGTATTGAAATCTTCAGAGACAAAATGTGTCCATTATTTTACTGTGAACAAGCTTCTTTTTAACTACCATTTCCTTTTTAAAGGTTGTGTTAAAGATGATTCCGAAATCTTTTCTCAACCTTTTGAAAGCTTTGGGTGGTTATGTAAATAAAGCCCATAATTAGAGGCTGGAGAAACTAGTATCAGCAAAAATATGGACAGTATTTAATATTATTTTCAGTGGAAAATAAATATAGAATTTGCTGAAAATCATGCCTATTGTTTATCATGGAGTTCTAAACTTTTGATTTAGTCTTATGAGTAGAATTTATCTTTTTACTGGGCAAGGAAAAGTGTCTTCTTTGTTGTTGTTTTTGTGGTTGTTGTTGTACTCAGGATTGAGCACAGGGAGTACTTAAGTACATCCTCAGTCTGATTGATTGATTGATTGATTGTACCAAGGATTGAAGTCAGGACCTTGCGCTTGTGAGGCAGGTGGCAGAACCACTGAGTTAAATTCCCGGCCCTTATTATTTTTTAATTTTGAGAGAGGGTCTTGTTAAGTTGCCCAGACTAGTGTTGAAGTTGTGACTCTCCTGCCTCAGTCTCCTGAGTACCTGGGATTACAGCTCTGTACCATCATGCCTGGCTTGGAGTTGTCTTTATCTTTTGGAGAAAAGTTTTAGAATTAGCATCTTTGGAATCTTATTATATAGTATAGTATACACCATATATATATATAATATATATATGAGAGAGAGAGAGAAGAAAGTATAGTATAGTATATAGAGTATAGTTAAAGCTCAACTACAATTCTCCTAGGTGCACCGCAGGTATCATGACAATGTGGAGGGGATTGGAGGTGTTTCTTGTGGAGTTGGTGGAGTCCCCGTTTTCTCATATTCCCTGGGTATTGGTGAGGTTGTTGTCAGCTTACTGTGTGGGGACATAATCCTTTGTTGGCTGCATGAGTGTTAGAGGAGATGACCTTTTTCAAGGTTACCATTCTGTGAGAGGGGAGTGAAAGAAATGAGAAACTCTTGTTTCTATAGAAATTTAGGAGCTGGGGTATGGGAATGCATAGAATGTATATGTCATTTTCAAAATTTAAAGTGTGTTAAATGTTTTCTTTTTTTCAGTTGTTTTTAAAAGATTACTTCTGTGCTCCTCTTGTGTAGTTGGCTTTTTTTTTTCTTTTTTTTTTTTTTTTGTGGTATCAGGCATTGAACTCAGGACCTTGCATTTGCAAGGCAGGTGGTGGCACCACTGAGCTAGATCCCCATCCCCTTGTAGTTGGCTTTGAGAGACAGTGTTCTAACTGCCTGTAAGCTCCAGAGATACTGGACTCTACTAATAATTTGTTTCTATTCAACTTTCAAAGCCCATAGAGAAGAAGAGCTACTGCATTTCTCCTGTGAATACAGTGCAGATGGTGCTCTTCTGTTTTTGCACACAAGTACACATTCTGGCTGTTTGAGTATTTGAACCCCAAGTATATAATAGTGATGGGTTTCTTCTCTTTATGCATAATTAAATTTTTTAAAATCTAGAGATGTTAATTTTAGCAATAATATGCACTTAAGTATCACATAGCTTTTAATTAAGCCATCCAGTGTTCCCTTATGTACTAACACCAGGACATAACACACCAGTTCTCTAAAAATGGTGGGTAGCCCACAGGCTTTGGAGGCACATCTGGTTTCCAGCCCTGAAGCCAGGGCACTTGGAGCCCTCTCCAGCAATGCAGAAAGAATGCCATCCACTTTGTACGAGTTAAGTAAGGAAGCCATCAGAGTTTTGTAAATACTTGTCTTACAGAATGTAACTGGGTGGGGCTGGGGACTTAGCTCAGTGGTACTGCTGCCTGCCTTGCAAGTGCAAGGTTCAGAGCTCAATCCCCGGTACCAAAAATAAAAAAATAAATTAAAAAAGCACAAAATGTAACTGGGTCCCTGGAGAAGGAGTTTCCTGAGCAGATATGTATGGAGTATGAAACATATACTCTAAGCTCTTTAGGTTCATACAGTGTGTTAAAATATTAGGCTTACGGTCAAGAAATGTGCTTAGCTTTAACTTTATACTTCTGACTTCTTCCTTCCTTCTCCCCTGCTTTCCTGTGGAAAATCTGAAATATATGAAAGTTTACTTTTGTTTCATGGAGCATAGATTTGAAAATAAAGTGCATTGCGTGGTGTTCCTAATTCATAATTGAGAAATGTTAGCTTCCTTTTCCTCCTTTTCAGTGTTCATTTTAATGTTTTCAAACTGTACTAGAAAAAGAAACTGCACAAGAAACTCAAAGCCCATTTCTTTTAATTACTTAGGGAATTGAAGTTAAGTAGTAAGTTTTAATAATTTGCTATATTTTATTTCTAATTTTCTCTCATAGTTAATATCTCTATTCTAAAATATGGTTAGACTTTGAGATTTAATCTAGGAAGACCAAATGTGGTGGTGATAAGATAGTAAAAATCTTAGAAACTCATTATTTGGTCAACTTTCTCCCTCATTAATCCACCACAATGTAAATTAAACTATGACTCAGAGCCCTCTAGGAGTTACACAAATATATGAAAGATGTAGTATAGATAGTTCCTGTGCCTGATTTGAGCCTCTCAACATTAAACATGAACCATCTGTATCTTTCTTGAGTGATTTATAAAAATTCTGCAGATTAGAAAAAACAAGAAATAGTGGCTGGAGTAGGTCAGCTAGTAGAGTGCCTGTCTGGCATGTGGAAAAGTTCTGGGTTCAAGTCCTACTCCAAAAATCAATCAAATGAGAGGGGAAAGGGGGGAGGGGGGACCTCTTTACATAAAAAAGCAATATGTGTTAAATTAAAAGAATGAAAAATCTATTTCTGAAGTAAAAAATTATTGTTTTGGAAAACCTTGAGTAAATTTGAATAAAGTGTAAATAATAAGATTAAAGGTGATATTCTATCCATTGCTAATATCCTGTCCTTTTATATCATTTCTTTTGCATTTTGGAAAAATAGTATAATGTTGTGTTTTTATAGCCTACTTAAAATTGCAGAATTAAAGGTCTTTTTAGGCAGATGTCAGCAGGCACCTCCCTGAGAGTCTGCCTTAGTGGTGCCTGCTCTTGTTCCCCAACCAGTTTCTTCATTTCTAAAGCTAGTTTCTAGGCAGTTTCTGGTTGGAAGAAGGTGATGAGAGAAAAAGGCCAGTTGAAGGATAAATTAATATATATCTTATACAATTCCTAATTGGTTATACATAAACTACTACTGTATGCAAAATTATGTGGAGTAAATATCCTTTAATGTGGTAAGTTTTCTAGTACACATGCAAAAAAGATTTGAGTTTAACATTTCAAGGAAAAATATTTTAAGTGTATACACAGTGTGCGTGTACACAACTCAACTTAAGAATCACAAATTACTGTTATGAAGTGCAGATGATTTGTTGCCTTTTCAACGAGTTCATGACAGGACTGTAATTTGTATGTCTTGCTGTCAGGTGGGCTTGATCCACCGGTGGTATATGCATGACTGTCCCATTGAGTGGCTTTTTATTAATTAGTAAAAAGAACAATAAAAGTTATTAGATCCATTTGTACCATCAGTGGTACAAGCTGCCTGATGGGACAGTCATGCACGTATCACTGGTGGTTCAAGCTGCCAGGAATGTGTTAAGTTTTATTGATTGATTGGTTTTTTGAGACAGGGTCTCCCTGTGTGGTTCAGGCTGGCCTTGAAATCACTGCAGTCCTCCTGCCTCAGCCTCTTTGGCACTGGAATTGCAGTCATGTGTCACCAAGTGTAGCCCATTTCAAATTTATTAAACAAAAAGCCTAATGGGAATTCATAGAATATTTTTCTCCTAATGAAAGATAATCCTGAAGAAATGTAATATTTTAAACATGTTAATCTGGTTCTGTTATTTTAGAGCTTTCTTTAATGACATCGAGAATTGACGAAGAAATGAAATGTATTGCTTTTCTCCCCGTCCCCCCCTCAGGTGGCTATCATCCAGTGAAAATTGGAGACCTCTTCAATGGTCGATATCATGTCATTAGAAAGCTAGGATGGGGGCACTTCTCTACTGTCTGGCTGTGCTGGGATATGCAGTAAGTGTTCTTTGTCATTTCTGCACTTGATTCTGACATAGTTCATCATCTGGTTCCTAAGGAGATATTGCTGAGAATCATTCCGCCTTCGTTGGGCATGTAAAGTGCCACTTAGCACAGGCCTACCTCAGCTAATCCCCGCCCCGCTTTAGTTTCAAGTTTATTTGCTCAGGTATTTAAAAATATGTACTCTCTTGTGGGTTTTCTTTCTTTCTTTCTTTTTTGAAGCAATCTCACTCTGTAGTTCAGGCTAGTCTTGAACTAATGGTGATCCTCCTGTCTCAGCCTCCCAAGCGCTCGATTTATTTCTGAATCTTATTCCTTGAAATTGCTTTTCATGAGGACAATTTCTTTTTTAGTAGTTCATGTCAGAAAAACATTCAGATTAAAATCAATAATGTATAGCTTTTCCAAATCAGTGTTCTGTGATGTTATTTAAAAGCTATCACCCATAGTAATAAACATCTTGCTGCTAGGTACATATATCCATGTATATTTGTGTGATGTATGAATTGAAACAAAAGTGTTAGAACACTTTTCCTTTCTCTGTGTGGTAACGCAAACACTTTTATAATCTACTTTAATTAGAATAAAATAAAAACAACAAAAACAAGATTGTCTTGCCCCGTGGACACTCTGTTTTAAATTGTGATCCCCATATTTGAAAAGTAGTATTTCAAAGGAAAACTTATTTAAAGTCTCTTTATTGCAGAGACCTCATTATAACATCACTTTTTTGGCTAGTGATATAAATAACTATGCTTTTTTTTTTTTAAAGGGGGAAAAGATTTGTTGCAATGAAAGTTGTAAAAAGTGCCCAGCATTACACAGAGACAGCCTTGGATGAAATAAAATTGCTCAAATGTGTAAGTACTACAAAAAATGTGAATGAATGCTATAATAAAAATAAATGACCAATTTTATAGAGGGCTTTTTTGGGTTAAAATAAAGGAGAAGGGCCGGGGATTTAGCTCAGTGGCACTGCACCTTCCTCACAAGTGCAAAGTCCTGAGTTTGATCCCCAGTCACACACCCCCCCAAAGAATTTTTATAGGTTCAAATACTAATTCTTTTATTTGAAAACTACCACTTTGTGGATTGGTATAATAGAAAAGAGTTTGCATTTTAAATTCTTCTGATCTTATATTCATTTTTCTTTGCATAGGTTCGAGAAAGTGATCCCAATGACCCAAACAAAGACATGGTGGTACAGCTCATTGATGACTTCAAGATTTCAGGCATGAATGGAATACGTATCCTTCTTGATGGCTGAATTATAGTGTATTTTTCTTTTTACTGTAAAAACCAAACAGGATTATTTAAAGCTCCTGTGAACTTCGTATCCCCTCTACATAAGGCTTCTAGGATCATTAAGAAGTCTTATAAAATAGGGCACCTAGAGTGGCTTAATTTTAGGTGGAATTAATTACTGACCTTTTGTCAGTAATTAAGATGAAATTTGTGCTGTGAAGGTAGAAGTGTATACCAGTACTTCTCTGTGCTTTAAACTTTTAAAAACCAGTGCACCAGGGCACTGTGGCTGCAAAGCATGTATGAGGTAAAGTATTTGTTGACTCAATAAAAGGAAAAATGTTCTGTTGATGCCATCTTCCCCAAATTGCACTTTAAGTACTATTAGTACTGACTAGTCCTAATAACTCTGCATTCTACTTCCAGGATAATACAACTGAGTCTTTTAAATAAGTGTCCTGCAAAGAATCATCTTTCTGCTAGGTGAATGCTGAAATCCAGGTCCCCATCCCCGCCCCCCCCAAGCACGCTTGTGTGCGCCCTTGCTTCAGTGCTGGAGATGGAACCTAGGGAGGCCTCAAGCATTCTAGGCAGGTGCTCTTCCCCTGAGCCACACTACTTGCCCCCTGGTTTTATTATTTCACTCCCAGTTTGTTCACTTTCCAAAAGCCTGGTAAAAGTAAAGTGATGTTATTTTCTATACTAGTTGGCAAATGGAAGAGTTCTCCATTGTTTTTTATTAACACTTTTATTATGAAAAGTTTCAGTCATGTAAAAGTAGTATAGTACAGTAATTTTATGTAAATTTGCCACCAAAATTAAAAAATTATGATGATTTGGCTATAATTCTCTATTCTTTCTCTTTTGCTGAATTATTGTAAAACAAATCCCAGATGTCATGTTCTTCTACCTGTATGGATGTCAGTGTGCATCTTGAAAAACTACAGATTTTCTTTTAGTGATTCTAGGAATCAAGCCCTGGTGCCCTCTACCACTGAGCTATACCCTAGCCATTTTTATTTTTTAAGACAGGGTTGTCCAGCCTGATCTCAAACTTGCAATCCTATACTAGTCTGTAGTAGACTAATTAGAAAAAAACCCCCATAAAATTAATAATATATTGATGTCATATACACTTCATTTTCTTAATCACAAAATTGACTTTTATAGAATCACATTTCAAAAAATAAGATTCTTATCAATCCTCTTTCTCCTAAGTCTGTATCAGCTCAACTTTGTGTAATTTATTATTAAATTGTTTAATTTACATATTTGCTCTTTTTTATATAAAATTAATCGTGAGTTTTAATTTTATTTTGTTTTTAGCTCTTTTGTTTTTGTTTTTTAATCTCTCTATGTAGTTTGGGCTCACCTCAAACTCACTATGTAACCCACACTGGCCTTGAACTCATGGCAATCCTCCTGCCTCAGCCTCCTGAGTGCTGGGATTACAGACGTGTGTCACCACGTCTGGCTTTTTTTGGTGTTTTGAGACAGGATCTCCCTGTAGTTCAGGCTTGCCTTCAACTCAGTATGTGGCCCAGGCTGGCCTCAAACTCACAGCGATCTTCCTGCCTGAGCCTCCTGAGTGCTGGGCTTACAGGTGTGTACCACAATGCCCAGCTTACCTTTACTCTTTTCTGTTGGAATATGACATTGTTTGCTTTGTCAAAAAGAAATTACCCTAATGGAAATTAATGAGTTCTTGAAAGATGAGTTTCTTGATCAGCTATCAGCTTAGGTGCTCTGCTTGCCTTTACAAAAATAGCCTTAGTCCTGATTCTAGGTCCTGTTTTAAAAGAAATGTGTCTAGCTAGAAGACAGAGCAGAGGCATCTCATGACTTTCTCTTGCAAGAGAATAGCTTTTGATTCTTCTGCTAAGTTGTTGTAGTGCCTACTGGTTTTGAGGGACCGAGGAGCTAGTGATCGAGCAGTAGTGGTAAGGAGTTTCTACCTTATCCTTCCCCTTCCTCTGCCTGAGGGGTTGACAAAGGGTAATGCCAAAGGGCGAACAAGAGAGAGAAAGTATCCCAGGACATAAAGCTTGTAGCAGAGAGCACAATTGGAGAGTGGAGATAATGTCTGTAATTTTCAAACTATTCTGTGCATGTGTCCATGCTGAAGCTCTGAGACAGTCTGTTGAGCATGGGCCTTCAGTTACCTCTTTGAGATGTGATTCTAGATCCTTTGAACGCTGCAGTCATCTTGATGCTGGTGATTTTTCATAGGTATATGCTGATCCCCAAATGTGTCAAGGTGTATGCATTAAATATGAACAACATTTGTATGTCAACCCTATCTCAGTGATGTAAAAACTGACTTTTAAAAAATTTTAAAGAATTCCAGATTCTTGAGTTTTTATTATTACAGTGTCTGCTCAGGCTGTGCTAAGAGATGTGTGGAGAGGGATGGGAATGTAGCTCAGTATGGGCCAAGATCTGCCTTGGTCACTGGTGGTCCCTCTGAGGCACACTCTCCTTGCTTCCACAGTGGGGGTCATTGCAGATTTCCTAAAGTGATTTTTAAAATAATATGGGGGATACAGTAAGTACTTAGTAAAAAACATCGGTTCTTTCTAATTAGGTGAGATACAGCAAGTGACTACTTTGGGTATTATTGATAGTATTGATAATAGTTTTTTGCAAAGAAATAAATGTTTTGCACGTGACACACATGATGCTGCTTTTAGTATGTGCCTCATTCCTAGAAATGAATCCACAGATGGTCCTTAACCCAGTCCCAGATGTGTGCATGGTCTTTGAAGTGCTTGGCCACCATCTCCTCAAGTGGATCATCAAGTCCAACTATCAGGGCCTCCCAGTACGTTGTGTGAAGAGTATCATTCGACAGGTAAGGGTTCTGAGGCAGCCCCCCTCCCATTACCCAAATGGCTAGCCTTTCAGTGTGGACTTGTGTGGACATGAATGAATAACATTTTGAACTGTTACTAAATCAGCTTTATACTGATATATATTTAATGGTGTATCATGCCATCTCGTAAAGGAAACAGTGTGAATGTCTGGCACACATTTCTTTTGACATATCTGTCTTTTTTAAGGTAAGAGATGAAGTATACTCAGAAATTGTTATATCCCTTATACTTATTACAAAACATCCCTCTTAGTTCCTTAGAAATAGTAAATAAATAAATAAATTGCTCATTTTTAATTATTTTCTTAGTATCTTTGGATAGAGTGGAAATCAAAAATATTTTGAGTTGCTTACAGATTCAGTTTTATGGGGAATAAATTTAGGGAAACTAATGGACAGAATGGTGACTGTACTAATAATACTGTATTATAAAGCCAGATATGGTAGTGCACACCTATAATCCCAGCATTTAGGAGGCTGAGACAGGAGGATTACTGCAAGTTCAAGGCCAGCCTGGGCTTACCTAGTGAGTTCAAGGCCAGTCTGAATTATATAATGAGTCCTTGTCTCAGAAAACAACAACAGAAAAAACAAAAAAGAACCCCTGTATTGTATACATGAAATTTGCAGAAATCATATATTTTATCACAATACACAAAAAAGAGCTGAGATAAAGGATAGGTTAATTCATTTACAGTAATCATTATATAATGAATAAATACATCACCACATCACACATTACACAGTAAATGTATTCAGTTTTTATTTTTATTTTTTATTTTTTTGGTACTGAGGATCGAACTTGGTTCCTTGTGCTTGTGCAGCAAGCAGCAAAACCACTGAGCTAAATCCCCAGCCCCTCAGTTTTTATTTTTAATTATACCTCAGCGAAATTAGGGGAATAAGCCTGGAATCATGAGAGAGGAGGGCTGCAGAGAGAAAGGCTCTCTACATTGGCTTCTATCAGTTGGATTGAAATATATCTACATAAATTGAGGTTATATAGAGTATTGTATTAGATGTGTGTGTAGTGTGTGTGCTTTACTCAGCTGCCTTCTGAAAGAAAATCCTCACGGACTGGTTTAGCAAAGATGCTTTAGTAGGTGTTGGTCGAATGAAAATATGCATAGATGGGAGATATAATTAGCAATGTTTGCCAGATTGTTTTGTGCATGAAATATGTATGTCTGCATTCTATTTATTTCTTGTACTTCCTCAATTAGGAAATTTGCAGAGATGACTTAGTCTAGATTACCTGTTATGGTATCATGGTTGATTATCACGGACAATGTCATGGAAGTTGCTTGGTTTGCTTGAGAAGAGGGCTAGGTGGTTAGAAGCCCCTCTCATATGTCAGGTCTAGAGCTTGGACTAGGCCCATCTGGGGATTTCAGACGCAAAACTTAGGCATTGGCCTAGAATATTTAAATAGGAAAAGAATCACAATGGTTCACCTATAAAGATTTGTCAGTTCACGAGATAGGTGTCTAAAAATGAGTCTTCCTAACAAACTCATTGTATAAAAGTTTCAAAGCTCAAATTTGCATAGTGAAAGCATCCTAGATTATACTTTTGAAATTGTGAGTACATAACTTTCTTTAGCTTGCCTTTCTGTTCCTCAGTTATCTTTGTCCTTCTGGCTGCAGATCGACAACTTGTCCTCCAACATTACAGGTGTTACTTGAGGACAGGCTGGTGGGTAGGGGAAGGCTGGCTGTCTTGGCTTATCTCAGTTGGACTGAGATACTATTTCATGACATGCTTGGAGTAGGTACATGCTTATTAAACGTGTGTGGTTTACTTTAATAATATACCTGTTCCCTTTTAGATTTTAGGCAATAGCATTTTCATTCATTCATTATTTTAACATAGGGTCATCTCCAGTGAAACAATAGTTTTAATGTAGAAGAGGATACGTGGTGAGATGAAATTAATATAGTAATCAGTTATTCTATCTCCAGATGGTGCTTAGGTATTCATAGCTTTTAGTGGTAACTCTAAAACTTTTTTTTTTATGTAAAAGAACCAACTGAGGGATCTAAAAGTCTTTTTGTAAAAACAATTAATTTTATTGGTACATTTAAGGTATACAATATAATGACATTCATCGTTGGAAATTTGCACCTTTACATAATCTCTCTTGGTTCTTATTTCTTCCCCATTCCCCTGCCCTCCCTTCAACCCCTCCACCCCTCCCTATTTACAAAGACTTTGTTTCCATTTTTTTCATTTTCTCATATTAATTCCATTCCCTTCTTTCCTTTCCCCTACCCCTTCCACTTTGCCCCTTTTCTTCCTGTTTCACATTATCTATTATATCTTTTAATCCTTATTTATACTTTCAGTTTCTTACACTAGAAAAACTATTTGGTATTTACACATGTGTGTCCTGTTTATTTCACTTAAGAGTATTGCCTCAATATGTATCCATTTAGCTATAAATGTCTGTAATTTCTCATTTTTTATGGCTGAGTAGTACTCCATTTTTGTTAAAACTTGATCATGTAGGGGCCGGGGATTTAGCTCAGTGGTTTCGCTGCCTGCTGTGCAAGTGCAAGGACCTGAGTTTGATCCCCGGTACCAAAAAAAATCCCCACAAAACTTGATCATGTGGCCAGGCGTCGTGGCGAGCACCTGTAATCTCAGCACTCAGGAGGCTGAGGCAGGAGAATCGCTGCAAGTTCGAGGCCAGCTTGGGCTACATAGTGAGTTCAGTGCCAGCCTGAATTACAAAGGGAGACCCTGCCTCAAAAAAGCAAAACAAAACAAAACTTGATCATGTAATATTAAAGGGTTTACATATTCAGAAAATGTACTTTAGAAGTAGCTGCCCGTCTGCATTTCACACAGGCTCCGTCATTCACCAGAGCCCATCTAAACCAGTTTTCAACAGTGTCTGGTACTGCCGTAGGTGCTTGGCCGCATCCCACCTTCAACATGGCAGTGTAGGAAGGTGAACTTATAGATGAACAGTTGGTGTTTATTACATTTCAGAATGGAAAAATAAAATCTAACCATTCTTAGCAACTGAAGAGATGGTAAACCAAAAGATAGAATGCGGAGACTTTCATGGAACTTCAGAGTGTAACAGTATTATCCTGACTGAACTCACATAGCCTGTTCTTTGTGAGGGCTGAAGTTTTGATTGGTTCCACAAGAATTTCACAATTAAATTTTGATTTTGTCACGTGGCCTGCACTTTGTTCTTATATGCCATGTTAATGGAATTTGCTTTATTTTGGGGGAATGTATGTATCCATCTATATGTAAGAAAAATATGAAATGTGGAATTTTTCTAAGCTTATTTAGAAATTTCTTATAATAAATTGTTACATATCTCAGCCAAGAATCTGCATACATGTGTTTCAACTTCATTCCTTTGATTCAGCCTGTGGGCTCGATATTTCTGACTCCTGAGTAGTATTGGGAAGATCTTTTTTTTGTTTTGTTTTGTTTTTTTGGTACCAGGGATCGAACTCAGGACCTTGCGCTTGCAAGGCAGGCGCCAGAACCACTGAGCTAAATCCCCAGCCTAATCTATTTTTTTTTTTTTTTTGGTACCAGGGATCAAACTGGGAAGATCTTTTATTGGTAGACCTACACAATTATATAATTTCTCAGAACAGAGTAGGCCAGTTCTTTCAATATTCTTCTCTATTGGCCATCTTCCCCTTAAAAACCAGGTATACTTGACCATGATTTAATTATCTGTGCTGTCACTTGGCATTCATCACAAGGCACCCAAGCCATTGAACTCTTCTATGTTGTCTTTTACTCTTAATGTTTTCTATGTTTTCAGGGCCTCCATCCTTAGTTCAGGCCTTATCTCCTCCTGCCAGTACCTTTTCTTAGGCCTCTCTCTACTCTCCCTGTGAGCAGCCCATCCTATTCCAGTTTGTCCTCTTTTCCATTGCCAGTTACCTTAAATAAAGCATTGCTTTCATAATTCATATTCCCCATTTAGAAACCTTTGCTGGCTTTCCAATGCCTGTTTGCTAAAGCTTAACGTTATTTGCCTTCATGAAGCAGTATAAGGAGTGATGAACAGCTTGGGTTTGGAGTCACATTTATCCTGCTGGAGCCAAAGGATTTTGTCCATGTTGATGAACCTCTTTATGCCAAAATTTCATTGTCAGTGAATTGGAAATAACAGTGAGACCTTCCTAATGAGATTATTGTGAACATATGAAGAGATACTAATATAAATATTTATGAAATACTCACTGTTTACTCTGTTCTAGGTATGGATCTGAATACTTGTCTGTCAGTTAATCTTTACTGTCAGTTTGACTGGATGTAGAGATTATTGAGGAGGTGATTGGATCTTGGGGTGTATGCTTATTGGTGGATTCATCCACTGATGTTCATAGCTGAATATGCTATTAGTAGGTGGGCCTGGTTGGAGGTAGGTCACTAGGGATGTGCCTTTAGAGGGTAGATCTGTTGCTTGTACTGTTCCCCCACTCCTTCACGGCTACCATGAGTTGTGTAGCCTTGTTCCATGGTGTCCTGCCACTGTGCCATTTCTGCCTTGGAGCTAGCCAAGCATGGACTGAACCCTCTGAAACCGTGAGCCAAAATAAACTTCTTCGTAAGTTGTGGATGTGTTGGGTATTTTGTCCCAGCAATGAGAATACAGCTTGACATAGTTTAATTCACTGAATCCTTACAACATCCCTATACAATAGGTATTATTAGTTTCCTGATTTTATGGAAGAGGAGACTGAAGAGAAGGCTCGGTAATTTGCCCCTAGTGAGGAAATAACTTAAAAAGTACTAAGTACTGGAAAGGAATTGAAACCCAAATAGTCTTAACTTGAGAGCTCATCCATTCGTCTTTTTTTTTTTTGCCAAACAGTGTAGAATATTGAAATGGTACTGGGCCTGTGTTCAATAGAATTTAAATCACTTCTTCCAGAGAACTTGTTTAAGGTCTTTTATCATCTGGTATCAGCCCATATTTTCCCTCACAAAAATAT